CTGATAGGACACTGTCTTAATTCACTCAAGCCTACTTTCGGATTAAACCATCTTGTTGTACTTTCAGCATGTTTTTCCACAACTTCGTTGATTTCTCCTACAGTTGTAGCCACCATTTCGCCATCTATATAACTGTACAGGTCACCACCAATCGCTAGACCACGAGATCTGTCTTTTTCCCTTACACTCAAATCACGCCACAGAATCGCGACCCACTTGACTACACAGCTCACAATCAAGCCCTTGATCCCAAGAGCGCCCTTCTTTCCCTCCCCCTACAAATCAAGACACACACAGGGATGGCTCATCTGACGTCGGCTGTCTACCGTCTGATAAGGTGGCAACAAGTCGTGTATTGGCACCCACACACATGCAAACGTTCCCACATATAAGATAACAGCGCAGAAACACAACACAACTCAACAGAGATACGTACCTCGCCGAGCTCGGAGCAGAGCCACTCAGGACTTACGGTGCTTCACTCAAGGATAGTCAGGGAATACGTGTGGCTGCTGTGAAAGCAAAGAAGACACGAAACCCGTATCCGGACTTACAACAGGATTTATCAACCTGCACCTGCCTTACGATAAGTCCCTTGTTCGCATATACCGATTGTAATAATTTTATTTAACAAGCTGATATCTTTAGTGGTTCCTGTTTTCTCGTTCGTATGACTAATTCTCTGGTTCTATTAGAGAATTAGTTAACTCCCATTGCCTTAGAACTACCTCACCCTCCCGGGAATCTTTTGCACTTGCATCTGCACCAATAGCAACATAAGTGCGTGCAAACAATTTCAATGTGTACCTTGATTCTCTGATACCAGCTACCATTTGTTCATATTTTAATCTTCTTCACCTTATTGCCCCCACCCACGCTTTCCGTGCACTGGCTATTGACGTAACTTTTCAAGGCCGGCGGTCCCAGCAATGATTTTCAGTCTCAGTTCAACTCAACCTGTCGGATCACTGGAATGCTCCTGACCCTCCAGGCTCCCTGTTCTGGCTTCTCGTTTTCCACAACTTACAGCCTCATAGCACGTGACAGGCAGGACCCGTTAGTTTTACCCTCCACCGTTGTTTGCTGCCTGCACCCTTTGAATCCTGTCTGATTTTGTTTAACCCCAAGTGTATCGGATAGTGATCACTGTCTATGTGACTGCCTCGCACCCGCGAATCTCTTGGCAATCAACTTACAAAGTTACCTCCCAAAATACCCGTTGGGCGAGCATCTTATATACAACGCCAGGCAATGGATTAACCCTTGCTGGGAAATATCGTGAAGGCACCGCTCTTTCTCATGGGTGTTTACAGCGTTTGCAACGCTTTCCTTTCAGCAGCCTGTGAATAAGGTACATCGCACCATTTTGGGCATCTACTACCTATGAGCCAAAAGATGTTTGCCGCAACACTTTTTGTTCACTCATCTCTCACGCGTCCCCACTCCAATTGCGGTTCCTTCAAGATAACCATCTTACCGTCGATTACTTCAGCTGACTAGCCAGTGGGCACGGAAACCAGGCCGCGGATACCTCAGGCTAGAGTCCGTGGGCATCTACGTGCCTGAGTTATGTCAGGAAGGCTGTCCTTCCGGAAGGATCTTTCAAAATAAATAGAAGATCTTTGAAAATAGGTGCCTAACCTCCTATGTCAATGCTGATACCATTCCTGCACCATTTTTCAGTGCACTGTGAACCCAAGTCATGTTGCATGGGTCCGATTATCCCCTTTCCGGTGTGATCTATTCTTGTCCCTCAATTCCTCCTGACGATGACCAATTCCTTATGCGAATACGTGAGCACCTCTTTTCTAGCCAAAACTTTGGTCATCCGCTGCTATTAGACGAGCTCAACGCTTACGGGGCCTCCTGGATGGAACTCCAGCACACCGAATAACGTGGACTTTTTGCAGCGGTGCTGATCGAGGACTTCTAACAGGGCGCTTGGCCTCAACATGTGGTTGCATCCACCATATGCCGCGCAGGCCAACTGCCGTCTCTCCCAGATTTTGTAATCACCAACGAAAGACACTGTTAATCGGGGAATTATAATAATCATGTTCTTTCACTACATGTGAATGGCACATCGTTGAGCACGATCCTACGTATACTGTAAGAATAAAGCATGACCGAAATGGTTTACGGGAGATTGCGTGAAAAAGAAGACAATGTCACAAACAGTAGGCAATATCCGATGATGTGATACTAATAGGTTTATTTCTCAAATTGTAGGAAACATGCCGATTTGGACGTGGTCGGGCCGTTACAGCCTCAATACAGCAGACAACAAGACAAGGAAAAGGAAGGCACAATCAAACAAGGCATGCTTGTTACACGAAAAGTCATAGCAGTTGCGGGAACCGAGAAAAACTAGCACAATAGGCATGAGGTCTGACTAGATTAAAGATGAACCCGGATGGTATGAATTAAAGGTGAGAACCATTGCTAGCCATAAGTGACCTTGGGCAGTTGAGTAAATGGCCAAGTCACAAAAAGCAAGGATAGAGATGGAATAATTCGAAGTAGAAGCAAATGACTGGTTTTATCTCGAAAATATGGCTTAACCTGAAGCTAAGTAGACTCACTGGAGCCACTGTTGCAGGGAAGTCAGTGCGAGGGATAGGTTCGACAGGGAGATGGCGCGAGTTCATGGGGCCGAAAGAACGCCGTATATGGAACTGAACTTTTAAAAGAGGCAAACCAATGCAGCAAAAAACCAGATGGTTCAAATACGAACAAGAGTTTCATCGGGTAGGAATGGACTCGCCCCAAAAGTGGTCGGAGTCGGGTAAAACATTTGCTGGTAGTTACAGGGTCGATTTGGCGAGACATTGCAGTCTAAATCTCAGGAATGTAGTTGCGGGAGCGCCCATACTGGGTATAACAGTGCCATGCCAACACTGCACTGATATACTTCGGTTGATGGACAGCACCGTAAGGGCTGTGAACAATGCCTCAATCGGAGAGGAGATACGCATTTTCGTGTCAGCTGAATCTGGGTTAGACGAAGAGATTGACACAGATGGAATCAGGCTGGTGCAGATTTATGTATAATTTCCCTTCAGTTGGAGGACCGTGTGAGTGTATATCGGGGACCGGCCAGATTGAATGAATAACCATTGTACGAAGCGTTTGGGCAACTGTAGCAGAAGTTGGAAGCTTGGGGGAAGGTGGAATTAGGAGAGAATAGGATGAGGGTAGTAGTATATGCTGAGTGCCTGGAGGCATCAAATTAAACTGTCAGTGGGAAGAAGTCTAAAACGGGATGCTATGAAAATAAATGGACTTCGGAAAGAGCGAAATTGTTCGCTGACTTAGAAAAAAAGCACCCGCTGGACCAAAGGAGGTACCAAATTTCGGGGAGGTAAGGACTATGTCGCCGATGTAGCTAGCGTAGAGGCTAGCCGTTATACTAGTTGGAACCGGCCAATACGTATTTGCAGTTTTGAGCGTACAAATAGAATCCGAAAGAAGGGTCTCCGTTGTGCAAAAAAGAGGCTTATGTGACCAGGGACAGTAGACAAGTGATAAGCGGTTGTGCAGTGCGTTCCAATATAGTGGAATAGAACAGTAGTTTAACCGAAATCTAAAACGCTTCACTGATTTAAAGCGGACACTCTGTGTTGACCTTCGATTTATTCTGCTATTGGGACAGAAATTCCGAACCGCAAAAGCGGATTCGAAACTTCCGCCACGCAAACATTTCAAGAATGCGCATCTTTCTTGAACTAGTTAAACTGGGACTAGCTTCGGTGAAAGACTTTGATGGGACGGGAAAGTTCACGAGGCTGACACGGTTGGATGAGCCGCGAGGCACCTAAAAGGATTTGGCGTCCCCTGGAAACAGGTCTCAACATTTTTCGAAAAGTTGACTACAGGAGACAACAGAAGAATCGGTATTTCGTAAAATACGGAACCGCTGTAAATCAGAAATCCGTCAAATGCAACACACGAACACAAGCCACCATTCTCGAAATCACCCGGGAAAACATAAATGCGCTGTCCAAACACTTGGGACATCGCCGCAGAAATAAGCCATGCGCGTTCCCCTAAAGAGACAGGAATGGGGAACCAAGGATGGACACCACAGTGGTATCTGATGTCTACAGAGAAGACTATTTAGGTTTGTATTCGGCCCCAGCGTCCTTGATACATCAAATCATGCCCAGGAGTAACTGTGAACTGGCACTAATCGATTTCATCTTCACGGTGGAGGGCTTATGACGCCGGCGGCTAGAAGCACACCCAGAATTTCTCTGAAACCGTGGTTCGAAGGAGGAAAACTTTAACGTAAAGTTTTAACATTTGATGGTAATTTTTCGGGCGTATGAGAACCTCCCAAACGGCCGAAGTTTTGTTGAAAGTTGTTTAAATCTACTCAATCCACACGATATTCAAGGCCCGTGATATTCATATTTTAAATGGCTGCTATGGCTGAGCACGTGAATGCGGAGGAGGATTTTGTGGAGAATTTAGCTCGTCAAAGTTTTTTCTCCCACAGTGGTATCTGATGTCTACAGAGAAGACTATTTAGGTTTGTATTCGGCCCCAGCGTCCTTGATACATCAAATCATGCCCAGGAGTAACTGTGAACTGGCACTAATCGATTTCATCTTCACGGTGGAGGGCTTATGACGCCGGCGGCTAGAAGCACACCCAAAATTTCTCTGAAACCGTGGTTCGAAGGAGGAAAACTTTAACATAAAGTTTTAACATTTGATGGTAATTTTTCGGGCGTATGAGAACCTCCCAAACGGCCGAAGTTTTGTTGAAAGTTGTTTAAATCTACTCAATCCACACGATATTCAAGGCCCGTGATATTCATATTTTAAATGGCTGCTATGGCTGAGCACGTGAATGCGGAGGAGGATTTTGTGGAGAATTTAGCTCGTCGAAGTTTTTTCTCATTCAGTACATTTCAAGTCGCTTTGAAAGTGTACCAGGCGAAACATTACGTTGTTTTCGTCCGTATACACTCGAAAAAGAACAACAATTCGCTACTTTTATATGAAAAAGCCTTTTACCGTTGTAGCAGACATCCCTGCAGACGAAGCAGAAGCCGTGGAATTCGTCGCACTTAGTAAGTCCACGGTTGGTTGTGTGTACGTTGTAGCACACGTCGTACCGATTGTCCGGCAAGATTCCACGTTCGCCGGTACCATGACTGCTTGAGGGTTACTTCTTACTACCTGGAGCACAACCAGCCACGCAGCTAGTTTATTTTTGACGGGCTCCCCATCAACCGGCGCCTGACAAATGATGAATTAAAGGAGTGTTTTACCCTTTTGAAATATGTTGCTCCGTCATCAAAGATTCGGCAGTACGTCGCCGACCACTTTGGAAAGGTGCACACTATCAAGGATGAGTGTAACTACCGCGTCAAATGTCGACCCTTATTGTTAGGTAGGTCGTTGGTTATCTTTTAGTCGGTTTCCTAGATGACATGTCATCCATCATAGCCAATTTTCGAGAGTGCGGTCGCGTGCTGCTGGTGGAATCGGAGGGTGTCAGATATAGTCACCTGCGCTTTTCTCGAACGCAGCAGGTAGCACTATTTAGACGTTTCTCGGACGTTGTAAACTTTGATGCTACACACGGTACTAACCGTCTTGAGTAAATAAATTTCGAGCCACTGACGTTCGCTGTTAAGTTACAAGCTTTATACATTTCTTGTGACAGATGGCATGGGGATCGGTTGACCCGTAATGTATGCCTTTGTCGAAAGCGATCATTTTGCGCCATTGCGCAAGCTGTTCAGCTTGTTCAAGGATATGATGGGTGGAAAATATGAAGTCAAAACGTTCGTCGTGGACAAAATGACCTAGCAGATGCGGACCGCCAAAGCCGTATTTGGCTGCGACGTAATGCTGTGCTATTTTCACGCACGGCAAGCCATCCGGAAGCACGTATGTTTCACTGCTTTAGTGTAATATTTGCAGACAATTTCCAACCGCAGTTGGCATCACTGCTTTTAATATTTGCAGACAATTTCCAACCGCAGTTGGCACATATTCCATCGCATGGCTCGCTTTGATAATGCAGCTGAGTAAGTAAGTGTGCACCAAACATTAATCGCGTAGATTTCGCCACAATTTGCACATTCTGAGGAAAACGGATCCCGTTTTTGTCTCTTATTTGACTGCCCACTGGCTCCACATCACTCGAAAGTGGACCATTCTTGCACAGCGTTGGTTGGTACATTCTGGGAACGTGACCAACAACAGCCTGGTGAACGCCAACTGGCGTTTGAGTAGGCGCGTGCATCGCTCAGATAGCCTGAAGCATGCCCTCCAGAAGGTCGCGCATTACGGCGGATGGAAACGCGAATATGAGATGCACACCACTTATTCTTGTGACCGACGAGAAATTTATGTCGCCTCATTGTTATAATAGAGAAGACGCCCACAGCTACCTCGTAACACTGTACTATCTGCAAGCTAATTATGCATATCTGGGAAAGGGGATCATCCACAGATGGCCCTCGCACTGCCACTGCAAGTTTGTGCTGTTATGTAATTTTATTGCACTTAATGGAATATGAGATCCATGAGGAAAATGTGTCGTGAGCAGGTTCGCCGAACAAAAATATCCCCTTTGTTAAATCTGAGGTGTCTAAAGCAAACAAACGCCTACGACGGATTCTATAGGGTGGCATTTGCATTAAATACTCTTAAGATGTTATTTTAGAATATCTCTATAACCACAACCTTTTGGGTACTCACTTTTGCCATTTTTGTCTGATGCTTCTTTCTCATTTAATTTTTCACTACTACATACGCTTCCAGTAGTGGTAGGCCATTAACGATATCGGCTGATTGCTCATTTTCATTGGTAGTCGTGACCTATATAACTAATTTCTCATGCTTGTGAAGCAAACTCGTTATGCCTTCCTCAACTACACAATCGGTCGCTGTAATTGCCCCTGCCCCTGCCGGAAGGTACGCAGTGAACGTAGCCACCCTATTCAGGGAGCACCTGGGCGTTCGAATCTCGAAAGCGAATTCATCCGGTGAGAAAAGGTTCATAAAGTACCAGTGCTACCGGAAACGATTCGAACGATGGAAAACGACGTCGACCGCTTGAGCACACGCAGTGTGAGGCACATTTCAACGTCGGAAGACTGGGTAATTATTTAAGGATTACCCGATTCCGTATGATCCACAACCACGAACTGCTGGGTGCCGAAGCATCCAAGTGGTTTAACCGAAACCATCGACTCAATGCAGAAAAACTGGAAATGATCCGACCAAATTTTGGATTGCCGAGATCGCTGTTTCAACATCCGCTTCTACGTGGGATCCAATTTGGCAGGTATCTCACCAACAGAGACGTTGGAAGCATTCGGGCGCAACATACATTTGGACGGAACAATCTATGTAAGTCCGGTTTATTTCGGTGAATATGTACCCTCTACAGATTACATCGTCGACTTGGAGACCCAATACAATGGACAAGGACGAGCCCGCTGTTTGCGGGATGACAGTAACCGGGTTTCTTTGTTTGTGTATTCCACTTCGGAAATGCTTGAACTTTTCCAAAGGTTGCCTGAGTTCCTTTTAATAGATAGTACTTTTTCTACTAACCAACAAAAATATTTCTTGTACCAGCTACTTATTGTTGATGGTCGTCGTAAAAGTCTCCCTGTTGCCATCGGTTTTCTATGGCGGAAGACCGACGTGACAACCTGTCCGCTAACTTTTCTAAACTTTGTTGGTGGTGGTTTTCACGTCAAGTGCATCCTGTCGGATGGTGCACAGGCCATTTCCAACGCAATAAGTAACGTATTCCCCCTTGCTCATCATTTATTGTGTGCATATAATACGCAATGTTGCTAAGCGTTTCCCCCTTTCTACTTCCTTCAGACGTTTTTTAGTGCCATTCATACATCCAACTTTTGGAGGTACATGAACCCTTCTTTTTCACGTACTTGAATTCTTTCCTTTTACCCAATGCTTCAAAATGGGCCAACTGCAGAGTGCTGCGGGCCGCAACCTATGGCATCCACGACACGAACATGGTGGAGGCCATGCACAGATGCCTCAAGATGGAACTTCTAAACGGACGAATTGGACGTTGGGAAGCCATACGAGTGTCACAGATGAGCGCGACGTACCTGATATGGAACCGTCAGAAATCCATATCAGATGCGTCTCCATGTCACGGAGGGCGCAAATTGAGTAGACTAACTTCCCATTAAAATTGCAACTTTGAAAACCCTCTAGTTTCGGCGAACTCAATTTGGGTGTGTCAATAACCTGCGGCACTTTTGACAACTCTTGCACAAAATCAACCCATTTGGCGCGTTAGGGCCCGAGGAGGTCCATCCAAGGATCCTGAAGGAAACATCGTTTACACTGGTAAACAATTTGTACTTGATGTCTCGTCAGTCGCTTGACTTAGGCCGCCTTCTTTCTGCTTGGAAGGAAGCGACTGTCATGTCAATCTACGAGACTGGTGACCGACTATTGCTTGGCAGCTACAGGCCTATAAACCCCACAACCGCGCCCTGCAAGGTGATGGAACGCATTCTAAAGCCAGCTATCATAGCTAACCTTACTTCCAACAGCTTGATATCTCCAGCTCAACACGGATTGATCCAAAACCTTTCTTGTGTGACGAGCATGCTCGTGCTTGTAAAGAGCTTAACACAAGCCAAATACGGAGGACCCATATCGAATGCTAGAAGTTTTTACTTATCAAAAAGCACTTCATCGGGTCCCACACGTCCCGCCGCTCCCCAAACTCGAGTCTTACGGGATTCAAGGAAAGATCCCATCAGACGGATCACCCTTGTTGAGAATACACTAGGCCCAATAATCACCAGCGCTGGCGTCCATTGGAGTTACCCAAGGCTCTATTTTGGGAGCACTGGTGCTTCTGAGATACGTTAACTGCCTCCCATATGTTTTTGCAAGTACATGCCTACTTTTTCCGGGGGACTTGAAGTCCTGAAGTTCCAATGCCAGTGCCCTCCTAATGGATGTAGACGCTGTAAAGCAGTGGTTGTTGGACTGGCACCTTCCTCGGAATGAGGGAGGAGACACAGCGGATGCCTTTAACATGAATGGTGGGGAAGGACCAGAAGATATCACGATGATATATGCCAAAAAGGATGTCGATATCTGGCTCTCTACTCACTGCACTGCGGGAAACCGGCCCGAAGGACGCTCGCGGTTCTAGAGACGATTCGGCGCAGCTGATCCCGTATTACTCCCATAAACTTTCTCCAGAACACTCCCTGAATATGCCAACCAAGTTGTTTACTCAGGACAACCGAAAGACGTCACCCAGATTGAGCGCATCCAGCGAGGCGCCACAAAAATGGTTCCCGGACTCAAATTCGTGAATTTCGATATGCGTCCAGTGGTGCATTGCCTATTTCCTCTAAATTATCGTCGCATCCGAGTGGACCCAATTCTCAATTATGCCCTATTTTAACAAGGCTCAACCACCAAAATTTTCACGGTTGACTCGGCAAACAGACCACGGGACATGGTAGGGAGATGTTCAAGCTCAGAGCTTGCATTGTCATTAGGCAAAAAGTTTCTCATTTGGGTAAGTGGCTTCGTGGAATAACCTTCCTCCGGCGGTTGTCCAAGCTCCTTCAAGAACCCACCTTAATGCATCATAAGGCATCTACTTACACGTGCCCTTGCACTGGCAAGCATACTGCCCCATCTCGAGAACCTGAAGAGACATGCTACACCCTTTTTTCACTTGTGCCTTTCAGGTAAACGATAGCCGCTGAGCAAGGAGGAAAAACGATCCGAGAATCTTAGGCAAGGCCTCGATCATGCGTATCGATCCCGTGAAGGCTGAGCAAGAGTGGTAAGGCCCCCAGAAGCGGAAGGATGACGGTGATAAAAAATGATCAAACTGTGTTCCGGCCTATCAATAGCGCCAGGTCAAGTGAACCACCAGCCTTCTTGTAAACATATTCTAGAAATCAATGGGTAGATTTGTTGAATATCCGAAGGCAAGCTATGCAGTGTTTGGAAGGCTAATGAAGTGTTACAGGAATTGCCGCATTGGAAGTATTTCCTGTCTTCAGAAAAGGACGTTAGGTTCTAATGTGCGGATTATAGATGCATCATTTTGTTGATAATCACTTCTAGGTTGTTCACAGGTTGCCTGCATGCGACTGATAGACATCATCAGCTGTAGAATCACCAAGCTCAAATTCTTCCGGGTGGTAGGTGCGTTTCTTGCATCTTCACTATACGACAGATACCGTCAGATGCGGGGGAATTCAAATGTCATTGTCGTTTTCAGCAGACAGAAGGCGTTTGACTCAGCTGGTTACGCTGTATTGTAACCGTGCATGTATCTAAAGCAAGCGGAACATTTTGATCGATACTCATCCCCACGTCTCTGGGTGCGCAAATTTCTAGAAATAATGCTATTCTGAGCTCGCCGCTATGTGTTGTTCTTGTAAGGAATCCTCGCGTGACCTACCCTCTTCAGCTTCTCAGTCGGATATGTAGTGGAGTGGTGACTTGCCAAATCTTTCAACCATGAGGAAGCCTTATTCCGGAGAGAATACTGGGGACAAGAGGAGTGCAAACTGAATTACATAGCTTCATTCAGATCCCTTCTAGATGCAAAATACACTGATGAATCCGAAAAATACCGTCATGTATTTAGGTATGCGCTTTCTTCCTTCAAAATAAAAAAACGATATCACTTTGCCGAGCCAAATCACGCATGAGGGTAACCAAGGCCATTAAACAGACCTCTCTGCGTGTATGTATCTTGTCTGACTGCAGCGGCACTGGTATGATAAGGGCTAAGATCACCAAACCCTATTGTTCTTTCCATCAACCAAGCCGGCACTGTTTTCGACGTGACATTAACTTGCCGGTGTTAGACAGGACTTACAACAACAAGGTCCGCCCAAATTCATCTAATTGATGTGAAGCCTGGCCAAGGCCCTTGGTAGATAATGGACGTTGCTCGTTTTAAGCGCATGTGCCTCCAAAAATTTTACAGCTTACAACAGGAACATTGATATGGCGGTGCCGAAATGCAACGAAACGCTTTGGCAACACACCTAATGACCATCACAATTAAGAGTCTGTCAGGGTGCTCCGACTTCTTTTATCGGGCTTGCTTCTTCATATGCTGGGTAGCCGATTGTCTTGCCGTGACCTGTTTGTTAAAACATTTCCTGATTGACTGGTTCTACAAGACGGAAATGCACAACCAGCGGATGCGGTTTATCTACTCCTTTGTTTCCAATCGTTAATCCAGGTGCTTTTGGATTTTAGTGAGCTTTTTAAGTGTTTTCTTTGTCTTACCAAACACATCGCATGCGCGATCGGCTTATGGTTAGGAAAACTAATTCCACTAAGCTTAAAGAAAATGCTTCGGTGAAATCTAAATC